TTGGGCCCCAAAGGGCACCACAATTTTGTGGACAGATAAGGATCTACATGGGTTTGAGTTCGACCATACACACTCGCCGTTGCCGCTGTCGCCGCCGCCCAAGTCGAGGCAGGCTCAGCTCAGCTCGGTTCAGGTTCAAGTTTAGATACAACTTTTATCTTTTTGAAGAAAATTCATTTGTTGAATTGGTTTCAAAATTCTTAACCCGATTTTAATTTATGCCCGTTGGAATTTAAAATTCACACTAGTTTGGATTTGAACTTTCCTCCAGTCCAAATTTAAATTTTGCATGTGTTCTTATTAGGTTGTCTTTAATGGTGTCTTTTGGGTTGCATGGAGCATGCTTGCTTGAGTTGGTTTTCATTGTGGCTGTTTGAACAGTCACCATTTTGTGGGCAGTTAAATTAGAGTTCTGCTTTCAATTACGTGAAGATCATTGTATCCTGAGAGACAAACATTGAGATTTTCATAAGCACCAGTGTGGGAGCGAAATCTATCCTAAGGACATAGTGTTAAACACTAGGCTTTATTAATATAAATTTCAATCTTCGTTCCTAGTTTTGTAAATAGATCAATTTTATTTATTGCAGTTTAATGTGTTACTATTTATTCTTGGATGTTACTGTTTTCCTAATAATCTATGTTTCTGTTTAAAATGTTTGCAAGTTTGATATCATTTTAGAATTCATTAAGTAATTTTACCATATTGCAGAAATTCAAACCAACAAAATTAAATTTGTGTCGATCAGGTATGGAAGATACAATGCCATTTATTTTTTATCTACTCTGTTGATTACTTTTGCTATGTCTACAGAATTTAATTCAATTTTTTTTATATATATATCACAGAATTGGTTTAGAATGCTTTAAAGTACATTGCATTTGTATGGTCTTTCACATGGGTCTTGAAGTTTATTTTTTTCCCTGGAATTTGATGTTTCCTATTTGTTTTTTTCCGCAAGAAACAAGAGGCACTTTTGATCAGGAATCAAAGCCATGAAATGCCATGGCTGCCAACGTCCTCTCCATCATTTAGAAGTATTTTCTTTACCAATAGTTGTCATTTTTTTTTTGTAGACCATGTGTGTATTTGTAAGGCATCTAATATGATTGGCCGATTATTGGATTTTTCTTTGAATTTTTTTTGTGTACTTTTGTGAATTGAGGCTATTGTTTGTTTTGAGAATGATTTTGATGAAAATTGTGAAAGACAAACAAGTGAGCTTTCTTTTTTATCCTTGAAATCTATCATTCCCCCTTAAATCTCTGTTTTTCAGGTATCTATGTGACATAGATTTTATGTCTTCTTTTTTGGTGGGTTTGAATGTTGATAAACTTTAGTTTGCTAGATGAGTTTTTACTCCAATAAAGGTTGGGTTTTGTTGCAGTATGCTGTGTTTTTTATTATAAGACTCGGTGGTATTGCTTTAATGGTTTACCAAACTTCATACACTTGGCGGTCTATTTGGTTAGAATTCAAACCGAGTTTGGGTATCACATGCCATGGGTGTGCAAAATTGATTCTACATTTTTAGTGACATGACAGTAGATAATTTTTTTTTTTAATCAAGTTATTGAATTCACTCTGATTTCTTAAGTTCCAAATTGAAATGTTTTTTATTTCAATGATGACTTCGGAGTTTTAGTTCGATAGTTTGAACCAAGAAATTGTGCTTGATAAAATCCCTATAATTTTTTTTTTCTTGGTAGTTTTATCAATGAATTTTGTAGTTGGGATTTTTACAAAGAGTGGAACACGTTTGTTTATTAGGACTCGGACTTTTTCTGGGGGTTGGATTCTACATATTGTGAATAACTTTTGCTCACGAAAATTGGCACAACTTTTCTCTACTTGATGTATTGAGTGTGTGCTAATTTCGTATATGTTGATGGGCCAAGCTCAAGGGTCTAACTCATGCTACGAGCCTAGTTCAAATTAAGAGTCCAATTCCAAGAGATCCAGCGCCCAAAGTAGTCCACTCCCGGTCAATCTCATTAGGTTCGAGGAGCTACATCAGCAAGGGTCATCCAAGAGTCTCTTCCTAACCACCTTGGAGTAAGGGTCATCAAAGAGTTTTCTCCTTGCCATCTTGAAGTAAGGGTCATCCAAGAGTCTCCTCCTAGTCACCTTGGAGTAAGGGTCATCCAGGAGCCTCATTCTTGTCGCCTTGGAAAGAGTCAACACCTACTTCATCCATTAACTGAGTCCTATAGAGAGTTTTGTAACTACCTCGCCCATTGAGAAGAGGTTGCCACCTCCGTTGGATCAGCTATTTAATTACTATTAAGTCGCCTCAATCTGCTATGACCGCCAGATTAGCTATTTAACTACTATTAAGTCATTTCAATCCGTTATGAGACGACTATAAATTTTAAGCCCTGCAACACTTTGGGGGCATCACACTCAATCGAGCACATCTCCCCTCACCTTTTCATAGCTTGCAGCTCTCTGTTCTCCCTACACACTTGAGTTAATAAAATACTTGGTGACTCTAGCCATTCAAAGTGGACGTAGGTCACGTGGGCTGAACCACTATAAACTTTGTCTTGCTTTTGTCTCTATCTCTCACTTATCAATTACTGTATTTTTTATTGTTCAATTGACAAGTGGTGTACAAACCCAATTTGTGCATCATCAGTTTGGCGTCGTCTGTGGGAAAGACAAAATTCTTACCTAATTACCTTTCTTGTTGTACCAATGGCAATCACCAAATCCATGGATCAAGCTAAAGACAATCTAGCACGAATGGAAGAGGTTGCATCTCCACCAACCAATCCCGTTTCGAATGCACAACAGATGCTAGAAACAATGCAGCAACTTGTAGCTCAAAACCAGCAGATTTTGTAACTGATGTTCTCTAGACAACAAGGAAGAGCACAACTTGTGATACCTGCGTCAAGGAGCTCCCCACTTGGGGGCGCCCTACACAGGGGATCCCACCATGAGGGACCTCCACCTGCACCTCAAACTCCCTCTTCTAAAGATCCCCATTTCCAAGAGGATGAGGGCGAGAATCAAAGTGTGGAACATGGGAGCCATTTTCATGAGAATTCCAAAGGAGCCCCAAATCACTAGAACTAAAAAATCAAAGAAATACAAAATTAACTAGGCGACGTCTTCAATGCCATAAAGGCACAAGGACCAGAAATCGTGGACTACCATGTAAGGCGAATTGACACACCTTTTGTGCCATATGTGGCAAACTACCCTCTTTCCCAAAAGTTCAAAATGTCATCTATATAAACTTTCGATGGTAAAAAGGACCCACTTGATCACCTCAAAACCTACAAAACCTTAATGCAGCTACACAACGTCCTCAATAAAATTATGTGTAAGGCATTCCCAATTACCTTGAAGGGATTAGCGCAATAATGGTTTGCCAAACTCACCCCGGCCTCTATAGGCTCCTTTGTAGAATTGAGCAGATCATTTGTGGCACTGTTCATTGGTGGATGCCGCAAGCAGAAGCCTACCACCCATCTGCTCAGCATAAAACAGGATCAAGAAGAGAGTTTGAGGACTTACCTCACCCGTTTTAAAGAAGAGATCCTCCAAATTGAGGAGTCCAATGACAAAGTCACCATGACCGCCTTTTTAGGAGGCCTTCATTCATCAAGTTTTCTCTTTTCAGTAATGAAGCGACCATCAAAGAGCATGCCAGAACTATTGGCAAAAACTCAAAAATATATGAATGCTGAGGAAATCAACAGGTCCAGGCGAGGTGAATCATCTCGCGAATCGCCAAAAGCTTGACCTGCCTCTGCACTGCTCTCAAGCAAGCAGCCTATATATCCAGCTTAGTGGGTCACCAAAAGCTTGGCCTCTACACTACTCTCAAGCAGGCAGCCTATATATGCACTGCTCTCGAGAACTCGGTCTCAAAAGGTGCAGCTTTCACACAAGCAATCCTCAAATTCTGTCTTTGCTCTCACACAAGCAGTCTGCCTCTCTATCCAGGTAATCATGTTATATATTTTTTGATGTTGGAATAACATTATTTTTGCCATCTCTAGGCACGCTTTTGGAACTCAGGGGGCCTCATCCATCCTGCACATCGGCTTGTTGCCGCAACACTCCCGCACTTAACAATTAGCATAAACAAGGCCTGTCTATGCTTGTCCCCAAGTAGCGCTCCTCCATCGCGATCAGAAAAATTGCCACTCGAGTGGCGCCCAGCATCTCTCAAGCGCTCAACACCTCTCAGGTGCCCAACATCTCTTAAACGCCCAACACCTCTAGGCACCCAGCACCCCTCAAGCGCCCAACACCTCTCAGGTGCCCACAAGCTGCCTGTTCGCCCAAATCAATTATGCGCCCAGCTCCCTGTTCTCTATTTTGACTGTAATTTTTGCTCCGTTACTCCAAATGAGGCCCATAAATATATCAAATTGAAGCTCTCATGCGAGTCCTACAAGACACACAGCCTTTGGCTGTGATTGATGCTATTAAAAGTCCAAAAAAGGCCTAGAAATAGATGTTTTGGTCTCCCGAAGATTTTTCAAAAAAAAACAAATTTGTGCATTCAACTGTCTACTCACCTAGAACACTACTTGCTCACCCAGAAGCTGCCTGCTCCCCTAAACCGCGCACCCAACTCCTTGCTCGCTATTTTGACCATAGCTTTTGATTTGTTACTCTAAATGGGGTCTATAATGTATCAAATTGAAGCTCTCGATGTGCCCTACAAGACTGATAGCCTTTGGCTGTGATTGATCCTGTTAAAAGTCCAAAAAAGCCTACAAATAGATGTTTTGACCTCCAGATGTTTTTTCAGTTGTGCGTTCAGCCAAAATTCAAATTCAACCAAATACCCTTCTCTCCAAGTACCATTGGATACAGGGCATTGAGGGGTAAATGATAGGTCAGGCCTAAGGGCCTAACTCATGCTACGAGCCCAGTTTAAATTAAGAACCCAATTTCAAGAGATTCAGTGCCCAAAGTGGTCCACGCTCGATCAAGCTTATTAGGTTCGAGGAGCAACATCAAAAAAGGAGCATACAAGAGTCATCCAAGAGCCTCCTCCTGGCCACCTTGAAGTAAAGGTCATCCAAGAGCTTTTTCCTAGTCACCTTGGAGTAAGGGTTATCCAAGAGCCTCCTCCTAGCCACCTTGGAGTAAGGGTCATCTAAGAGTCTCATCCTAGCCACCTCGGAGTAAAAGTCATTCAAGAGTCTCCTCCTAACCATTCTTGCTATGTTGTCGTCACACCACTTAGACATTAGGAGAAGGAGCCTTGTCACTAGCTTGTTCAGTGGGATCCTGTTTGGTAGTTGTCTTCGAGGGAGGAGGAGTTGGAGGAACTCATGAAGACTAGACAACCGGATCATCCTCTGTAATGGGGATTGGTGTAGGCTCGGTGGAGTCAGGCTCGGCCCACGGTTCAACACAAGATCAATGAAATTTTTCCCTACCCGCTCTGTACCCATCTCTTGCTTTTTGGATCTTTTTTGAGTTTGGGAAGTGGAAGCTCTTTGGACTCAAGTAGCTATTTTGTGCTCGAAAAGTTGTGCAGCAAATGATGTGGGAATTGCTATGAAAGAGTGGCAGGTAGGTGTATAACTAAGCAAAACATGGGTTGCTAGGAAAAAATGGATGGTATTGAAGGACTATGTTTTCTGTAGAGCCTTTTGGTCCACCGAACTCTTTTAAATTTTTCCTTTGATGGTCTCACCTTTATAGGCTAGAAAGAAATTAGAACTAAACACAATAAACCAAACATGAAAAGTGGGGGCCTATAAGGTCATCGGCAACACTAATGCAGATTGGATAGCAGCAAAGTACTGGAATTGCTAGGACTGATATAGGTGTGGATCGGGTTAGTGAAATGGGTTGCATTTTCTAGAGCCACTTCCACATGGGTTTCGAAACACCCATGTCCAGTCAAAAATGACGAGGTGAGATAAACTCTTTGCACCCATTAGAGTGCAATGACCCAACGCAGATTTTGGGAAAATTCCTTCATTCAGGGCTTGAATAATGCTTTCTTGCAGTTTTAGGAAACTTTTCGTAGCTGAATAAAGTCACCGTGTGAACTCAGAATTGATTACTATCAGTTCTGTCTTAATCTAGGTGATATGTAGATTTTAGTCATATTCTTAGTTTAAAACTTTCCCTTTTTGGAAAAATTTATAATAATGGCCTAATAACATGATTAATGAATGGTTTAGGTTTTTTTACCATTATATAAACTTTGGTAAGCGTTGAGGCAACTTTTAGTGAACTACTAATATTGAGAGAGTTTTTTTCTTTTTCCTAAATTTTTTAATATTCTTAGCAATCAACAGATTAATTGATCCCTTTAGGACTGGTATTCTTAGTGAATCACCAAGTCTAGGGAAGGATTCTGAACCAGTATTTGTATGTAAATCAATGATTTGATTTCATTATGCTTCCCAATCTCCTTCTTATATTCGTGTTTTTACATACTTCTCTACATTACACACCCTCTTATACGGGCATCTGTAATGAGACTCTTCGATCACTCTAAACTCTTAATTCCTAGACATTAACATAATATCATTTTTGTGCCCCTTGTTCAAATCTGGGAGATAGGTGACCATGTAGAGAGTCTTCTTCCTAACTTGAAAGTAGTAATTTTTATCATTGGTGGATTTTTTCATATAGCAAAATAGTATCTGCGAAAGGCCAAGGTTGACGTTGAAGAGATTATTGAGAGCCACGACACCCATCACTATCCTAAAAAGGTTGGGACAACAATGGATGGTACACAGTTTTAAATAGTCCAGAACCCAAAGAAGAAGGTGTAGAGGAAACCTAACTCCACCCATAAAATGGCTTTAGTAGGGATTAGGATGGACTCCCTAGAGCGTATGGGGGATTCATACTTCCTAGAAACCCTAATGATCATGTCGTTAGGGATGTTGTACTTAGCCCTAAAGGAAGGTGTGTCATCTTTCATTGAAGGATCTATGATAGAAGGGCATGAAGAAGAAGAATAAAATTACGAGATAAGAGAAAAAAAGAACTATAGAGCCTTGAGGAACTTGAGAGAGTAGCAATGGAGGAAAAGTGAAGAGGAGTTTCTGTTAAATGAATGGTAAGGTACCAAAAACGATGTCAAAAGCTAAAACATGCAATTTTTTAAATTGGAGTGATCTTTTTTTATGATGAAATGATGTTATGGCACACCATTTCACGGGAAATGATGCAAATGAATAAAGGACATTCTTGTGGTAGAGAATCTCTATCAATTGTCGCATGGCAGATGTTGTCCGAATTTGATATTGACAATTTACGTGCAAGTATACGCGATCAACAAGTAATAAAGTGATAAGTAGAGTATTGTTCCCATGGAGAAAGATTGCTAATAACTTCCAAGTACTAACTTTATATCAATTCAATTTTATTTAAACAATTGGAATTGAACTATGAAATGACTAAATTAAAACTAAATCCAAACTTAACAATCAAAGGTTGAATTTATCGGATAAAAGAACATAAGATTACAACTTCCCCAAATGCTTCGTATAAATCTTTCTAACTCTCTTTCCAGTTAATTAATTAAAATAAGTTGTTAACTGATAACTCAAAGTTATTTATCAAACATTTTTTGATAGTTAGATAAAATTATCTCTCCCAATTAAATAACTATATTCCTATACAAAATAAGTTGGAATAGATTCATTAAGTTCAAATTCTCTTAAAAGTTACATACGGCATCTAGGTATATTCCTATCCTATACACAACCCCAACTATTCAATCCTAAGAAGAATAAACCAGACGCATGTCATCATATTCAGATCTAAACCTAGAATTCATCTCCCAATTTCATCTAGGTTATCAAATTAATTGTTGGTCATACAATCATATATTAATCAAAAAAATATGACAAACAACTCATTTATGATTAATAGAACTAGAAACGAGAGTGGATCAATTTAGCTAGACATTAAGTTCCGTTGCAATCTTAATAAAGATTTAGTTCATAATGTAAGTGAAAAACATCATTCTCAAATTAAACAACATCTCAGAAAAATCAAGAAGTAATAGTAAGAGAAAAGAATAAAAACATAGTTGCAATCTTCACTTTCTCTCTAGCCTTCGATTCTGATTTTCTTCATGTTGCTTTCTTCGATTTTTGTCTTCAATTTTCTTTCAATCCCTTCGTTTTTCCAATGTTAGTAGCCCTCAAAATCAGAATATCCCTTCACAACTCAAACCCTATCTTATATGTAGCTTTAGAGTCCAATTTCGGGTCATAAACAAGTCAAAATTCGCGTCATGGACCAACACATGCGCAGCTGCGCCAAAAATGGTGCAGGGGTGCTGAAGTACTGCCCTTGTTGGCACAGGTGCGCCCAAAATGGCGCAGGGGCACGCCCCCCCTTTTTGGCCTAAAATGTCCTTTAAGCTTCTTCTTCAGAAATCCAACCTTTAGGCTCCAAATTGACCTTATTTCCTCTCAAATGCTCATGATTCCTTCCAAATGATCATCCCTACACAACATCATCAAAACACACAAAAAAAAATATAAAAAATATAAAATAATTGAAAACTTGTAATTTTATCAAGCCAAAAATACTCAATTCGTAGGTATAAAACTCACTCATCAAATACCCTCAAACTTAAATCTTTGCTTGTCCTCAAGCAAAATAATAAGAACAAAAATTATAAAAATTAACCAACCAACTACTCAAACAATGGATCAATATGAATGTGAATAATGGTCTCAAAAGTTACTACAAAAAAATAATTCACGGGAACTTCAAAATAGTGCAAAATCTATCATTTCAACATACTCCCTAATTTTACCTCCAGTCATGACCCTTTAAAGACATGGACAAATCCGAACTATCAAGCTAATCATCACTCAAATACATTTACTTACTTAAATGTTTCATTGGAGATACTCAATATCAACTCTATAAACTTACGTTTGACATCAACCTCCCCTCATTAAGGCAAACATATAAATAGAAGGACCAAAGATTTTTTTTTCTCTCTCACTCTTTTTTCTCTTTCGGTGAGTGCATTTTATGCTCCATCTCACCTCATATTGAGCAAGTGTGTTTTACGCTCCATCTCACCTTTTCTTGAACGAGTGCGTTTTACGCTCCATCTCGTTCTCAACATGTGTTTATGAGTAAGTGTGTTTTACACTCCATCTCTACTCACCACATGCCCAGTTTCTTGTTTCTTGTTTTCTTATTTTTTTTTTTTTTAACTCATGAAGGATCAACTCAAAATAATTTTTCAAAAACTCTTTTTCTTTTTTTTTTTTAGTAACCCAGCATAACCAATATTTCCCCCAAACTTAGATGAATACCTCCATTCGCTTTCAATAATGCTTAAATAAGTTTTATAAAGTTTAAATGATATCTCCCGCAAACATTTAACCAAATAAATTCTCTAAATAATAACTAACCAAATAGATGGATATGTGCTAATGAATGAAAAGATCACAAACAGTATAAAACCAACTAGTATGTCAAATTACAGACTCAGCATATTTATCAATTTCCCTTGAATTGAAAATTAATCCCATTCATCATTGGTCATGATCAAATTCAATCAACCCATTACTCAAGTCGTACTAAATCATGTTATCTAAATGCATACCTAATAACGCAAATGTAAACAAAAAAAACATCCCCAAACTTAAACTAAACATTGTCCTCAATGTATAAAGTAGAAAAAATTAAGACAGAGGACTTCCCTAAGACTTCGCTAGTTTGCATCATCATCAGCGCCCTCATCGTCCTCTGAGTCAAGAGTGTATTCGGGAAGCATAGGTGGGTTAGGAAACTGTTGTGAAGAAGTACCCGAGTTGAATCCATAGTTGTTAAACATCTGGACTAGTGTTGAATTGAATTCCATTGAGTACTCTATGAATGAGTCCATTCGATGTGCAAGTCGATCATTGCGTCTAGACACACATCGAACTTCCCTACGTAGCTCTTGTGTCTCTCTACATAACTCCTGTGGTTGAGATAAGGTAGTAGTGGGCAGAGGAGGCTCCAATGGTTGTCCTTAAATTNGCATAACTCCTGTGTCTCAATGCAATCCATGCATTTCACCAACTAGAGTCTCCAAAGGTGATTGAGATGAGGTAGTAGTGGGCAGAGGAGGCTCCAATGGTTGTCCTTAAATTTGCGGCATATCCACCATAACATACTCGGCACCCCTATTATCAGAGAAACCTCCCTTCCATACTTTAAAGCAGCAAATGATTTGATGATCAATTGGCACTTGCAGTTGTTGAACTAATTCATCACCCTTCCATGTAACTTTTGCCTTCTTGCATAATCCGCAAATTAATGATGGGTGAGGCAATTCGGTATTTAAACCGCTCTTAATAGCCTTTGTGACTGAATCTTCAATAACTTNCTGGTATTTGACCCGCTCTTAATAGCCTTTGTGATTGAATCTTCAATAACATGCCCCACATTAATGGTTTTTCTTGTG